CGCTGCAGTTGTAAGGCCCGTACCTGACAGAGTGCGGATTTCCACAGTTTAGGGTTTAGGGTTTAGGGTTTAGGGTTTAGGGTTTAGGGTTTAGGGGTTTAGGGTTTAGGGCTTAGGGTTTAGGGTAGTCGTGGAGCAAGAATCCAGCCTGCAGGAGCAGACCATGGAAGCGGAGGAGCAAGAGGTCACACAGGACTTGCAGCACTACTGGCACGACCCAGAAGACCAGGAGGCAGCGGAAGAGGTCGCGGAGCAGTGGCATGCCGAAAAAGAGGAGAAGCAGGGCCGGACTTGGCGCAGCTGGGCGGATCAGCATGAGGAGGAGTACGGAGAGGATGAAACGGCCGAAGATCTGCACGGTGCGGAAGTGGCGGAAGAGGTTCTGAGGCCTCGTCCTAGGCAGCTGCGGCAGCTGCCATCGACACCCTTGCCTGTCACTCCGGAGAACAGCGCAGCTGCCAAGCAACTCTTCAAGGCGGTTGCCGGTGTGCTGAACGGCGCCTATGCCGAAGTTCCGGCTGCTTGCGCTGATGCCGTGCGGCAGTGGCTACACACGGAGGAGTCCCTGGACCTTGTGACAGCCTCTGACGGCCTCGCGCTTGCCTTCCAAGCTGGGGCAGTGCCGATCCAGGGCCTCACAACCTTAGCGTCTCTGCAGAAGCAAATTGCAGTGGAGTGTCAGGAGAGCTTGCTGATGAACAGCATGGCAGCTCGAGTTTGCTGGCTAGCGGGGCAGCTCACTTCCGGCCGTGTGCCGCTCACAGAGTGGGAGACCTTCCAAAACTTGCGGAAGGCTCTGGAAGAGGCTGTGGAGGGCGATTACCTCTACTCTGCCAAGCTTGAGTTTGTCAAAGCCTTGGCTGTCATGGCATGTTCAGGGTGCCATGAGAGCCCTCTTCCTGCTAAGCTTTGTCAGATCTGTTCAGGCAGCGGCCTGTCGCCATGTGCCAAGTGTGCCGGCAGCGGTGTCTACGCGCAGCCTTGCCGCAGATGCGACGGCCGGGGCCTACTGGGCCGCGCAACCAGCTGCCCAGTTTGTGGAGGCAAAGGCAAAAAGGTCCTTGGTGCCTGCAACGCTTGCACGGATGGCAAGTCCGGCAAGCCTTGCCACGCATGTGATCAAGGCCGGCCATTCTGCACGGAGTGTGCAGCTCAGCGACTAGAGGAAAGAAAGGCGGAAGACCGGGCAGCAGCACAGAGGCGTCAGCAGCGGACATCGCAAGCGAGGGAACTGGGTCCACCTCCTGCAGGGGTGACCATTGCTCGAGCGAGTGCAACCGACCTCGCTTGGTTGCAGAATCTTTGGGACGAGCGCAGCCAAGACCACTACCACTACAACTACGGCTACAGCCAAGAACGAGGTGTGGTGGCAGCGTGGTCCATCGACAACCCATTGCTGAGCTGGCGCTTCGCCGAGCGCCGCAAAGATCTGAAGCGACTTCTGCGGAGGGACCCAGATGAGCTGGATGGCTTTCACGGCTCAGCGCCGCAGAATCTTAGTTCCCCAGTACCCAACCTTTAAACTTTTTTGGGTTCTTATAATTGAGTAGTAGTCTGAAAGTTTAACCCCTAAACCCTAAACCCTAAACCCTTAACCTTTTATTTTCCCTGGCTTATTGGGGAAGTAAGGAATTACCTCTCCATCATCCAGGGGGGCTTCCGGTCGGATCTTCGCGGTTCGGCTGTCGGACAGGTCTTTGGCAGTGGTGAGTACTTTGCAAAGAACCCAGCGGTCTCGGTGAGTTACTGCAGAGGTGGCCACTACATGCTGGTTTGTCAGCTTCTGCTGGGTGAGCAGTCTCTGCAGAGTAGCAACTCAGATGGGGACCACATCTGGGTAGAGGACAGCCAGTACTACGTCATCTCGCAACCGGCTCAGGTCCTACCTCGCTTCCTTGTGAAGTTTGCCAAGGATGGCACCCAGGACACCGAGCTGGAGCGGGTTCTGGCTAAAGGCCACTGGAGCACTAAAAAGGCGGAGGACATTCTTCCTGTCCCTGCAAACCGGCCTTGTACCATGAGTAGAGATTATGCCACATTCCTGTGGATAGGATTTCTGCATGCGCATATCTCTGACGACCAGCTCTACGATGACACAATGGCCTTCCTGCAAAGCCATGCTCCAGCCTACACGGAGGGCGTCAAAGTGCAGATCGTTCGAGGGAAGTTCAAGAAGGCACATGCCGTTCTCAAGAAGGAGATGCCGCGAGAGCTCGTGCACCGTCTCAACCGTCTTCCTTTCATGGAAGATGGACAGCAGCGCACCATCTGCGTGGAAGATGGCCATGGCTCTCCAGAGCAGGACTGCCCAAAGTACATCGCAAAGTACTGCCGAGGTCAGAACTTGCGCTTCACCAACCCCTGCTGGTGCAAACATCCTGGTCGGGAGACTGACAGCGCAAGGTTCTCACTAGAATATGTGGATCTTTGCAGTGCCAAGGGCAACGAAATCCAGAGCAGGTTCATGGCATCGGCCCCTTTCCAGAACGGAGAGCCTGTGATTGTGGGCATCCGCCAGGTGAAGAATCCCCTCCTCTCCAGGCTCCATGAAGAGTACCGGCGTTACCTGAAGACTCGGCACCGTGAGGAGCCCACCGCGCGTGAACTCTTCCACGGCACCAACAACAACATTCACGACATCCTTTTCCAGCATGGTCTGCAACCTCCCTCTGACTGCAACGCGTCAGAACGCTGCCCTGTGTCAGGAGGCAAAGGCTTGAGCACCACCCTCTGCACCAACTCCTGCAAATTCTGCACTGAGAAGCATGAGTGGGACCGTTGCCACATGTTCGGCCTCGGCATCTACCTGGCAGACATGGCGCAGAAGTCGCACCGCTATGTGTCGCAGCCCGGGGATGGACGAAGCGGCCGGAAACAGTACAAGATGATCGTGTGCTCCGTCCTGGGCCGTGCTTTCAAGGTCGAGGGCCACTTGCGGACGAAGGATGGCATGCACGATGTCGCGAACGTGAACCTTGGGGACCAAACAAGTAGGGGCCCTATACCCTTATACTATGAACCCCTATATGGTATATGCCCTA